TGGGGAACTGGTTTGTTAAATATTATGTGTTATAGAAACTGGATCATATCACACGTAAATACAATGTAGGTTTCGTATAGAACAGATGTTCTATGTATATTAATTTTTACGACAAAAAATACAACTGCATGATTACGTATAAAACAACTCACAGATTATTGGGAAATAATCTGACAGCTAAATCTACGGTCTGGTGCAATCAGCACAATAAATATTTCCGTGACAATTTATCTTCATGATCAGATCCACAATGTACACGTATGCAATAATGACTCGATCTTTGTTTCTATGGAAACACAACATGGCACTTATAAAATTAAGTAAATATCATATACTAAAATTAAAAGTATCAAAAATCTCTTGAAGCGACATGGAAAATTAAATGACGTATATGTTGAAAGTGACTATAATATTTTACAGTACAATAAGTTACAAAAAATAAAACCTAGCGCTTACATAACCAAATTCAGTATACATATAGATTTTTTCAACTTTTCCATCTATAAATCTGAAGTGAGAAAATCTGCGTTTAATAACGATTATTCCAATGACTTCTATGTAAGTCATTGTCAATGAACCCAAAATATTAATAAACCTGATGGGGTAAAATACTTTCTAGAAATTTCTGGCTTCTTTTATCGATATAACGTAATATATCTGAGAATTACACGACAAAGCTGTAGTTAATGTTAAAAATGGAAGCAGAGTACAAACATGACAATTAAAATCTCCAAATGATGTTACCTCATCTGTTTAATCCCTTTTTCATGGAAAACTCATGTACCCTTTAACTGGTGTTCGTAAGCTCTCACACTCACACATATTTAGTGTGACACTGTTTAATATCAATATACACATACTTACACCGTACCATGTCCACTCATATGTTGCTAGACTTACTTATGGAGCACTTTTGACTTTGAGATTAAATTTTTAATATTATTGATACAGAGGACTAAAAATAGGTCTCTGCAATAAACCAAAAAGATATAGACATAGAAGAAGAAAAAGAAAAAGAGACAGAATTAGCTACCGCCCGGTGAGCCTGACTTCAGTAATTTGTAAACTGTGTGAATCTATTGCGAGAGACCACATTATGGAATATATGAACATCAACAACCTTTTTTCACAACAACAGTATGGCTTTAGGCCACGAAGATTATGTACTACCCAGCTACTGGAGGTGTTTGACAAATGGTCAGAGTTTATTGACTGTGGTCACCCAATCGATAATATATACCTAGATTTTAGCAAAGCTTTCGACACTGTGCCTCACAAGAGATTAGGAGCCAAACTTATGTCCTACGGTATAGACGGCAAACTGTGGTTGTGGATCA